CTTGGGAAACCAAACAGGGTCAAAAAACCCTGCATAATTAGCAAGTGGCTTTTACTGCTTTGGTGACATCAGTTTTTTAAGGTAGGTCTGAAGCTATGGATTACGGTCTTGCAGTGTGTGTTCTGTCAAGGAAAACACGAGACTATCTGCTTTGAAAAGTTTCAGTCTGCAGAATAAATGACAAACTGAGGGTAATACTGCCATTTATTTAGGAGCCACCAGTTGTGGCAGGGAGCCATGAACTTGGGGGCAGTTCAGCCCATGGAAGCCAAAGGGTGAGTCTCAAAAGTAAGCAGGTTTCAAAAACGTGTTTTTATTTTATTTTAAAGATTTTATTTATTTATTTGTCAAACAGAGAGAGCGCACGCACATGAGCCGGGGGGAGCGGCAGGCAGAGAGAGAAGCAGGCTCCCCTCTGAGCAGGGAGCCCGATGTGGGACTCGATCCCATGACCCTGGGATCGTGACCTGCGCCGAAGGCAGAGGTTTAACTGACTGAGCCAACCAGGCATCCCTTGTTTTTATTTTAGAAGTCAAAAAGATATATGCATTAAGAATTCAGGTGATATTAGATTGGTGCCTTATTAGTCTTAATAGAAAATAACAAGCTTTACAATCTACACATTTAATGCAATTCCTATAAAATAACAACAGCATTTTTCACAGAGCTAGAACAAACAATTCTAAAATTTGTATGGAACCACAGATGACCCCAAATAGCCAAAGCAATCTTGAAAAAAAAAGCAAAGCAAAGCTGGAGGCATCACAATTCCAGACTTCAGGCTATATTACAAAGCTCTAGTAATCAAAACAGTATGGTACTGGCACAAAAGGAGACACAAAGATCAATGAAACAGAACTGAAAATCCAGAAAATCCAGAAAAAAAAAACACCCCACAATTATATGGTCAATTAATCTTCAACAAGGCAGGAAAGAATATCCAATGGGAAAATGTTTCTTCAACAAATGGTATTGGGAAAACAGGACAGCAACATGCAAAAGAATGAAACTGGACCACTTTCTTACACTATCCACAAAAATAAATTCAAAATTGATTAAAGACCTAAACGTGAAACCTGAAACCATAAAAATTCTAGAAGAGAACACAGGCAATAACTTTTTTGACATAGGCTGTAGCAACTTCTTTCTAGATATGAAACTTCTTTCCAGATATGTCTCCTGAGGCAAGGAAAATGAAAGCAAAAATAAACTACTGGGATTACATCAAAATAGAAAGCTTCTGCCCAGCAAAGGAAACAGTGAACAAACCGAAAATGAAAAGGCAACGTATGGAATGGAAGAAGATATTTGCCAACGCCATATCCAATAAAGGGTTAGTATCCAAAATAAGTAAAGAACTTATAAAACTCAATACCCCCAAAACCAAATAATCTAATTAAGATGGGCAGAAGACATGAACAGACATTTCTCCAAAGACAACATCCAGATGGGCAACAGACACATGAAAAGATGTTTATCATCACTCATCATCAGAGAAATGCAAATCAAAACCACGATGAGATATCACCTCACACCTGTAATAATGGCCCAAATCAACAACACAAGAAACAACAGGTGTTGGCGAGGTTGTGGAGATAAAGGAACCCTTGTGCACTGTTGGTAGGAATGAAAACTGGTGCAGTCACTCTGGAAAATAGTATGGAGTTTCCTCAGAAAGTTAAAAATAGAACAACCTTATGCTACAGCAATCACACTACTGGGTATTTACTCAAAGAATACAAGAACACCAATTCAAGGGCCACCTGGCTGGCTCAGTTGGAGGGGTGTGCAACTCTTGACCTTGGGGTTGTGAGTTCAAGCCCCATGTTGGGTATAGATTACTTACATAAATAAATATTTTTTTTCATACATATCTTTTTTAAAAAAGAGCACTAATTCAAAGGGATATATGCACCCATATGTCTGTAACAGCATTATTTACAATATCTAAGATATGGAAGGAGCCCAAGTGTCCACTGACTGATGAATGGATAAAAATGTGGGATCTACATACAATGGAATATCATTCAGCTTTAAAAAAGAATGAAATCTTGCTGTTTGCAACAACATGGATGGAGTTAGAGAGTATAATGCTAAGCAAAATAAGCCAGTCAGAGAAAGACAAATACCTTATAAATTCACTCACACGCGGAATTTAAGAAACAACAAACGAGCAAAAGGAAAAAGAGAGACAAAACAAGAAAGACTCTTAGCTATAGAGAACAAACTGATGGTTACAAGAGGGGAGGTGGGTGTGGGAAGGGGTGAAACAGATGATGGGGATTAAGAGAACACTTATCATGATGAGCACCAGGTGATGTATGGAAGTGCTGTATCACTATATTGTACACCTGAAACTAATATAATACTGTATGTTAACTACCTGGAATTAAAATAAAAATTTTAAATAAAAAAAAAAACCTACCAAAAAAAAAAAAGGAGAAGAAGAAGAAGAAATGAAAAGAAAATACCAGGCTTTCAAGTCCCCGAAAGACCAAAGCACATTTGGGGAGATCATTTCCCTTTGTACAACCTGTGCCACACTTGTATCTTTTGTTTTTGCAACATCTTGTAACTATAGAATTTCCAGGGCTATTTCTGGACAGTCCCAAGAGATGGAGACATAATTAACAGTGCTCCATATAAAATACAAGTTACGTAGACCATCACACTTTAATTACTCTCAGAATCCAACTCTAATGTAATAGGTATCAAGTTTCTTCTGGAGGAAAACACAGCAGGCCCCTGCTATCTGAGTCTTCGAGATCTCTCTCTGATACTTCTGCACGGCCTTGTCACTGCACCAAGATACTGTGCTGCGGTAAATGAATCAGATGATGCAATTAGGAAGCAGGCTCTTCAGGTTACCCTTGTAATCAGGCACGTCACAGGCATATTCCAGCCTGCCGTGTTTTCTGGCACTGTAGACCCAGGATGCCTGAGGAGAGCGGCCCACGCCAATCAGGGGCTTGCAGCTCTGTACTGTAATTACCTCCTTGAACCATAAGGCATAGAGAGGTCACATCCTGCCAATGCCACAATAAATTAAACCAAATAACACCCTCTGGAATCCTTTAACCATAATGGAAGCTCCGAATCGCTACACACACGAGCCTGATAAATACTTCTGTAGATCAACGGACTACTAAGCTGTCTGCCTGGGGGATATTAAACTATAAAAGTTGGAGACTGAAGGCTGTGTAGTGCAGTGTTCAGTGGGGGTGACTGCCTCCTGGCTCTCATATGCTGGGATATCCTGTGCTCGCTGGAGTGCTCTCAAGCCAGAGGGCCACAGGTAAAAAGGACATGGGGGAAGTTCAGAGAAGAACCACAGGACCAAAGAAAGGCTGCAGAATCAAACCAACTCAGAAAAGCCAACGGAACTGGAATTTCTCTATAGGGACAAGACCTAAAGAAAATTAATAAGGACCCCACAAGCAAGGAAATAACTCAGTTACTGTTATTTTGTCCCTGAGAAAGGACTAGGGAAAATTAAATTATACCATGTACATTTAAGTTAGAGATAGAGATGTACCTGATAATAAAGATAATGTTTGGAATGGCCAGGGACTTCTAAAAGCCTTTGTTCATTTTGAATTTTACTGTAGCTATTTTTACGTAAGGTGCATTCTTATTTCTCACCTTACTATGCAAGTCTTTTGAATGGTGAGGTCAAAGTAGTAATTTTCCTAAAAACAAAAAAACCTCGTGTGCTCTCTCAGTCTTCTGTATCTATCTTCTTTCCTTCCTTTTTTCCTGTCAAACACTGTAAACTTGCAAACCAGCGGGGTTCAATCTGTGCCACTTGGCTTGCAGGGACATGGCTACTGGTGACTGCAGCACCGTGCACAGCTGCCTGGGAGGCCCCAGAACGTGAAGGCAGACAAGAGCCTGTGCAGTAAGGGAGAAGGCTGATGGGGACCTAAAAGGAACAATGGGACAGAGGAAGAAGGCAACTGATTCAATCAGGATTCCCTAACACAGTCTCCAATATGAAAGAGAAAGAAAACAGGAAGTTCCAACTGAATTAAAAAAACCAGAAGGTGTCTGGGAGGTGGGCGTTGTGTGAACTCAGCCAACCTCAGAGCTGCCCCCTTTCCAAGTCTCAGCTCAAGTGGGGAGGTGAACACTCTCTCCTGCCCACTCTTCCTAGCCCCCAACTAAAGATCTGACCGTTCACCATCTCTGAACTGATTTTCTCCACCGGTACAATAGGAAGAAAATCTCTGTGCCCTATGTTCCCCAGGTTACAAAAGCTAATGAGAAAACATGTTAGAAACCACTGAGGTTCTCATAAAACAGATGCCCAGGGAGCACGGCACCTCCTGTAGTTTTTGGCTTGTTTTTTCAGGGTGCATTGGTCTTTATTCCTGCTCTTAAAAAATGCACATAAATTCCACAGAGTTGCCTCCCACGAAGGGAAAACACCCCCACCGGTCAGGTTCTGAGGATTGCCTGTGAGTCCTGCCATCTGACCCTGGTTTAGGTAATGAAGCCAGTCCATTTGGCCCACTGAGCCCCCAAATTCCCAGGCCTGAGAAGTCCCAAGTACAAGGGAGGGCAGGGTTCAAGGCTAGAAGGCTTATACCAAAAGAAAACTTAAAAGAATTCTTAGTTGTTTTTGTTGTTTTAACCTTTCTTCCAGGATTTTGTTTTATACCTCCTCTCATTTGTAAGGTCTTCATTTTTTAAAACTTACTTTTCATATGGAAATAAGAACTACTGTTTTAAAACAGTGTGCCTTAGTATCAGTTCTCGTGAGGGTGCACTCTAAGGTGCACTGACCCAGTAAATCTCACACCTCTCCCCGTTTTCAAGACACGCTCCAACCATGCAGAAAAGCCCCCTAAGCTGGGTATTCCTATAACAAAATGCAGATACATGATTATTTTAAAAGGTGCCAACTGCTCTCGTTTACATTTCCCCTTGCTTTGACTAAAAGAGAGGATACCTAGCATCCTCTTTAAGGATTTTTCTCCTCATCAAAGCCCAGCACGTACCAGTAATGAATCTTTCAAAAAGCATTCGATCCTTCTCAGGAAATTTCTCTCACTGGAGATTAGCTTATCAAAAAGATGCAGTGTTGCTTTTTCAAGGCTGGGGAGGTGCCGAAGCCAGAGGCAGACTACAGCTGATGTGGGGAGAGAAATCTTCTTCCTTTCAGCAAGAATAAACAAAATTTTAAACAGAAATGGGTTACTAAGAAAATAAGATTGAGATAGATCAAAATGCAGTAATGAGTCCAGTTTGTGAATCTTCTTTTCATCATGGTCGTACAGCAGTTAATATTTACAGTAATCAATGAATATTTACCAAGTGTAAGTTTGCAAAATAATGTTAATCTGCTTCCAATTCAACTCAAGAAATTAGAGAAATGCCCAAAGAAACGCTTTCCAAAAGGAAAAACAAGTAGTAGTGACGGAAGTGTTAGTGACAGAAAGATTAGTGATAAAGAATAAGATGGAAAAAGGCCTTGACGGATACCGTCCCGAATTTAAGAAAGTTATGTTTGAAAGTACATCATAAGGATTTAAAGTATGTAATCAGACCAGAGCCACCACCTACTAACTCGATGGCCTTGGGAAAGTTACTTAAACTCCAAACCTCAGTATACTCATCTGTAAAGTGGGCCTATCTCCCTCACCGTGTTCTCAGAAGGATCAAATGCAGTAATAATACATGTGCAGAGATTAGCACAATGCTTGACATCTAGTGAATATTCAGTGGCTGTATTTGTGAATCTGTCGCTTAAAAGTTAAAAAATATTTTCCTTTAGTAATCATTTCAAAAATGGTGGTAACAGCCTGGTAGATCCATAGCTGATCCCTACCATGGTACTCTATGGGCCCCAAATAATTTGTGAAGCTATGTTTCCACAGGAGAATGTACGTGGATGTTCCTCCTGAGTGAGGTCAGTGAGTCAGGGGTTCTCCCTCCTCTCCTGGGAGGGAGCATGAGGGGACACCTAATTCTGAGCCACTGGTGGCTCCTCCCTGTGAACACTGGGCCTGTTTTGGCCTGGAGAGACTTCTCTTTGTTCAGCCCAGCTTTTCCAAGACCTCCCTCCCTTCACCTGTGGTATCACAGACATCAGAGTACTTGCCAGGTTCTGCCAAAGATGTTTACTGCCTTTACTAAGAAAAACAAAAGCTGAGGGCACAAAGGCCCCCTCTTAGCCAAAAACCCCTTCAGGCCTTTCCCTTCACCACGGCTTCTGGGCCACTTCTCTGCAGGAGCTGGTGTGAAGCCCAGAGCATGGGCGCAGGCGCAGGAAATGAATAGGCAGGGTCACAGTGCAATTTCTCATGATTTCTCTGTTTTCTTCTCCCTCGGCGTACCTCCTGTAGACCTTTGTCCTGGATTAACTCTGGGGCAAGGCCAGACAAAGCTGAAGAGTCGGAAGGACTCTCACAGACAGGCAGAGTACAGGACAAAGGGCAGGACGGAGGCCCCCCTCTGACCCGCTTTCTCATCTCATGTTCTCACCCTGAGCTTCAACTCTTCTGGGAAGTCTTGCAGGACCCCCTTCCCTCACCTCCCCACACCTGGCAAAGAAGAACTGCCACGGTGCCCCCCCTCTTGCATCACCTGGCCCATCTGGGGGCCACGCTATGGATGTCCTCTCTTGTGCCACTGGTGCTTTGGGCTGCAAGCCCCATGCCACCTCCCCTATCATCCTGGATGGCAAGGAGCTGGTGGGCATCCATGCAAGGAAGAGGAGCACTTCCTGTGAGGCATTCAAAGTGCCAGGTGCAGGCCAAGCAAATGGGAACAAAACAGACCTAGTCTGTACCCCTAGCACTTGGGGCCCAGTGGGAGGTACACATACACATACTAAATTGAGAAAAAGGCAATGAAGGAAAAGGGCAGGCTGAGGTAAAAGAGAGTAATAGAAGGGGCCTGACTGAGACTGGGTGGTCAGGATGGCCTCTCCAGCTGAGTTGAGATTAGCTAGGTGAAGAGTAGCCAGAAGGGCATTTCAGCTGAGGGAATGGCAGCCGTGATGGTCCTGAGACAGGGAAGAGCAATGTCAGACGGAGAGAGAAACCCCAGAGAGCGAAGGTGAGGTGGCTTGTAAGGCTTTGGGATTCTATTCAGTGATTATTCTGGTCCAAAGGACTTTATACAGAGGAGTGCCAGGATGCGGTTTGCAGTCAAAGGTCAGTCCAGCTGCAGCAGGGAGAATGGAGTGTGGGCCTAGAATGGGTGTGGGGAGCTCAGGAGCCCAGGGGGGCCGGTGCTGGTGGTGCTGGCGTGACCCGGGCAGCAGTGGAGGAGTGAACGGACAGCCTTCCTGGGTAAGCAAGATGCCTGGACCCTGTGTCCACTCCCTTCAGTGTTTGCGGAAGTCTTTTCAAAGTCTAGGCTGTCAGGCTGTCAGCCAGTTTTAGTCACATTAACAGACTCCTGGGAGAGGTTTCCATCCAGCTTTCTACAGGAGAACTTCCCTGGACAGGGGCGAGGGTATCTGTAGCCCCTGTCATGAACCAGAAGGCCCCCAAGAGGCAGGGATGCTCTGAGGTGCAGAGGGAACTTGGGTGCTCAGTGGCTCCTCCCTTCCCAAACAGCAGGGACATCTTCTGACCTGCATTCACCACATCTTATTTTTTTTTTTCAGGATCCATATGAAATAACTATGTATGTCATTAGAGAAGTTTCTCACTTCAGGGAGAGTTCTTCATGCAACACCATTCCCAGGGCCTCTGAGCAGCCGTGTGCAGTGTGATTTTTACCTAATGGTCACAGTGGCCGAGTGATGCCTGGCAGCACAAAGGTATGAGCCGCTGAGAATGAGCAGTAGATAAACATGAACAAATATAAAAAGGAAGCTAGTGTAACATGGTAGTTCCATCAGATATCTGAAATAAAAAATACTGCTTAAAAACTTACAGAAGATCTGCAAAATTATAAACTCAAGTCAGTAAGCACATAATATTTTTGTTCTGTTCTCAGAAACAGTTTAAAAAATGTGTATGTTGGGCGCCTGGGTGGCTCAGTCGGTTAGTGGCTGCCTTTGGCTCAGGTCATGATCCCAGGAGTCCTGGGATGGAGCCCCACATCGGGCTCCTTGCTTAGCGGGGAGCCTGCTTCTCCCTCTGCCTGCCACTCCCCCTGCTTGTGCTTGCTCTCTCCCTTCCCCATGTCAACAAAATAAATAAAATCTTTAAAAAAAATAAAAAATAAAAAATGTGTATGTTAACAATTATCTTTTTATTACCCTTTATTCAGAGTATACTCATTTATTTGCTGTGATTAGATTTATGAACTCATGTTGAAGAAAACAATCTATTTTGCCCTAAAACATCAAAAATTTAACTCTTTATAATCAATACTGGTGATGAAGAAATCACCAAAACAATATGATCTTAATATACTTGCATAACAGAATTTGACTAGACCAACACATTCATATTATGTAAAATGTTCTAAAAGTGTACCAGGTTGGTTTTGAAATAAAAAAGGCAAATTACATTATATGTCAATTACATCTCAGTAAAACCGGGGGCTGGGAGGAGGCAAATTATGAAAGAAGAACACAAATGGCCAATAAAGATATGCAGATTTTCAACCTTATTAATAGTAAAGAAAGGTAAACTAACACAGCTATCATTTTCCTCCTCACACATCAGCAAATGTTTACGACAATGTCCAATGCTTTAGTAGGTACAGGGGACATATGTTCTCAGAGGTGAGATGGAATGGCTTTGCTCTTTTGTTTATGCATACCATCTAACGAATTGTAGAACAGACATTATCCTGGCTTTCATAACCATACTTTTGTGAATCTGCCTGGCAGAAATAAAAGCATCAGTTGGAGGATATTCACTGCAGCAATATTATAAAAACAAAATTAAAAACAACTTGAATGCATCTACTGGAAAGTAGCTGAATAAATTAAGGCCCATTCATATCAGGGAATATGTTCCTATTTTATAAAAATGAGCTGGATCTATAACCCTTGAGGGCTAGCCAAAATATATTGGTTAGAAAACAGGTTCCAGAGTCATGTGTATGGTGTGATGCTGTTTTTGTTTTTTGTTTTTAAAACTACTTAAAAAAAAAGAAAAAACTGTTTTATATAGATTTCTATGTTTACAAGAATATAAGGTATGGTTATCAGAAGTACTAGAGGGTGATAATGAGAGGATAATTAACATTTTCTGTATATACTTCTGTATTGTATTGTTTGACCAGATAAAATGAATATATTATTTCTGTGGAAATTTAAAGAGCCAATAAAGTCACAGAAGATTAAAATGTTTTAAAGGACACTGAAAAATTTCATTCTACTCTACTGAACATGTGTTAGTCATAGAAACACTAAGGCAGTCCTTTTTCTACTCTAACCATACTTACTCCATCTATCTAGCCCAGATACCAATCAAAACTTGGTGTAATACATTAAAAGTTTCTCATTTAAAATAGGAGGAATAGGCTTCCAGTCAGTGCTTTCATGTAGAGCAACTAAGTCTTTTTTTTTTTTTAAGATTTATTTATTTATTTGAGATAGAGAACGTGTGTGTGACTGGGGGGCAGGAGCAGACGGAGAGAATCTTTAAGCAGACCCTCTGTCAGGTGGAGAGCCTGACTTGCGGCTCGAATCCCACGACTCATGAAATCATGACCTGAGCCGAAACCTAGAGTGAGACATCCAACCCACCGAGCCACCCAGGCGCCCCAAACATCTGAGTCCTAGTAACAATTTCTGACACAAAGCAGGAGAAGCCTGACAGGACACTACCGTGTCCAACATCTCCTGCTATTAGTCTGCTAGATAAATGCCTCCTTGGCATTTAGAAAACTGTACTTTGTTTCTCCAAAATACTGAGGCTGTTGTTTGTCCCATCTCTTCCAAAAAGAGGCAGTATATAAAGAAAATGGTTCAGGTGCTTAATAAATAATTTTGGCTCCAACTGTTTTTTGATAGCTACAACAGAAACAGAATGTGGAATTCAATTCTTTGCAAAAACGGTTCTTAATGAAGGCAGTGCCTGTCAGTAGGGAATGTCAGAGAGGCGAAGGGAAGGAAGAAGCTTCCTCACTCAAGACAAACAGGCAGTAGTCCACCTTTCCAAACCAGAAAGAGATCAGGGCTGTTTGGGTTGCCAGAGAAGCCCACAAAAATCGGATCAGCTTTTCTGGAGAACTACTTAATT